CCATTCCAATATAGAGGGGGGGGGGGGAGAAAGGAGGAGACGCGATGATCGTGTTCTGCGCGGGTTCTTGACCGAAAGAAATTACTTAGGAGAGCGCTGACTTTGCTGGTAAACGTGATAAAGGAGGAGGAGGAGGTGTTGGAGGAGGAAAAATAAGAAGAATCTCCGGGCACGAAGAAAAGGAGGACTTTGGCGAAGCTGGCGGCGCATACCAACCGTGCGACAGCGGCCTAATACAAAGCGGTACAGAGATAAAAGAGAGAAGCGCGCGCGAGAGCGCGTAGGTAGTTTCTCTTCTACCTGTCGACTTCATCTTTTCCCCTACGTATATTTCCTCCTCTGCCACTCTTCCCCCAGCAACATCCACCGGCAGCTCATTGTAGTTCAGAGAAGGAGGAGGAGGAGGAGAAGAAAAAGAAAGAGAAGCAATGCGAGAGTCGCGACACCTAAACTCACGCTCGCTCGTTAACGTCCGTTTCATGCTAGCCGCGCAGTAAATTACATCTCGGCCGATCGTAATGAATCTCGCACCAATGGATAAGTCCGCGAGATATTTCTGCACTATGAGCCCCGTGCGCGCAGGAGGACATTGGAGTCCGCAATACGTTGAGACTATCTGGTCGAAGCTACGGGGGGACCCTTACGTCATTGAGTATTCACGGTACAACTCATTGAACAGGAGAATTCGGTGAATGGGTACGAGAGCGCATACCGCTAATACGCGCACGCACTTCTATAGAGCTTCAGAGCCTGACTGACTTGGCCAGGATCGGATTGCGTGAGTATTGTGGAAATACGAATATTTCTTTCAATTTTACTAGTGAAATAGTCAGAACTGTCATTTCAGCTTCTCTTTTATTCACGATAATATATGCAAGATATCGATACCTTCTAAATTTACACGGTCTAGATTCATATTTCATTTCACTCGCAATATGCATATGTATACTGGCTTAAAATCTAATTCTGTCTTCAAGATATATTACTTAAATGTCACAATTCTGATCTGAATAAATCAAATCTCTCTGGGCGGATATCAAGAGAGAATTCAATAATATACCCAGGCGATATCCCATTAATCTTTCTTAAGTTTCATGCCCACTCGTCTGTTCTTCCGAGAACAGGTGGCCCCCGATAAGACCGTATTTCTCCCGTATCTCACGTTCGGTGGGTGCGCGCGGGCCGCGTTCGCAACCCAGAAACGACACACCCGTGTGGTGATGCGTTGTGAATGGAAATATCGGCCCGGCTTCATTCTTCGGCGACGACTGTCATCGCGCGTCTCCCTCTTCCTCTCTTTCCCTCGAATCGGCACGATCGGCATTCTCGTCGATTCACCCTGATTCGTCGCAAGGTGCATTACTTTCCATCTTGCTCGTCCAAGAAGCACGAGCGGTAGGCGCGTCCGTCGAACCGAGACTAATTCCACTTACGCTCTCGGTACGGCCGCGCCGCGACGGACGGACGGCACCACCGTGTCTTCGGATGCTTCGCACGCGCTTATAAAGCGCGGCGCGCCGTCGTGTCCCCGGCCTGCACGCAGCGTGTCCGTCGCCGATAAATTTGCGTTCGATTCGGTCGTAATTGCCGACGATGACATCTTCCGGTTGTAGCACGCGCTGACGATAGTACGTATACTGTGTATGTACACGCTGGAAACCACTGACTCTCCGGATCCTCTTAACTTGTGGCTCAAGTGCCCACTCATAACGGGATCCGCTTCTCTCCGAGTTGTCGATTATAATTTACTGCGGTTACATGTAAAATTATTCAAAATGTAGAGAAATATGTTTTCCCCGCTATATTAAAATTCGCGCGCGCGCGCGCGTAATGGATTCTAAAAAAAATTTCTACAAAAATCACTTATCGAAAATAATGTAATCATTATAAAACTAAACGTCGAAAGATTGAGTAATCGTATTTTAATTCTCTGCCGGAGGATGAAATATTGAATATGAAACTGTGAAGGCACAGTCGATTGTTACGGTAAAATTTTAGTAGACAAAAATTTTAATCCGTAAAAAATGATGTAAAATACAATCTGACTGCTATAACAGTAAATATTAGTTGTTAAAGCTTTTATAAGTATATAAAAACTTTTTTTAGATTTTTAGTCCGAAACACAATATAAAAGTCTGCACGAAAGTTCAGAGACCCTAGTTGCTGATGGAAAGTGCAAAATTACATATTACTAATGCTGGGTTAAGAAATACGTAATGTATAGCTAACGTGCCTTTTTATTCTCTTTAAAAATCAGTTCATATATACTTAGCGAGCATAAATGGTCAGTACAGTCATAGATAACTTAATAGTATTTAATCGGATCGTAATAGTCAATCTCCTCAGGTCTCTCGAGCACACTTTGAATCGATGCTATAATGGTATTGTCGAGAACAATTTACAAGGAAGTTGAAAAACGAGAACGAACGGAATCATCAACAATATCGAGACGAAGAGAGGCATGTCCGATTTTACTTTCACGCTCACGATAAATTATATTGGAAATACGAAGCTCAAAGCGAAGAGTAGTACCACTCTCTCGACAACAACAACGAGAGCGAGTAGTAGTGCGTTAAATGCGAAATAAGGCAAACGCCCCGCTCTAATTAATACATTAATTAATACGTCGTGATGTGATCCCGTGAGTGATTAATGCGCGAGAGTATTACTCTTCGGCTCGTTCACGCTGAGGTAACCATCACGCCGAGTAATAACAGCAACGATCGCTATCGAGCTTCTGCAACCGCAACGGGATCCTTTTTCATGTGCGGTTTCCAGCCGCCCATGGCGAAGTATTTCATTGAATTGTGGATAACAGCAAATTAATTGTTATTAGCGTTCGGTTGTGCTGGTTGGTGGTGCCAGCCCGATCGCGGCTGGTCACGAGGTCAGGTCAGGTTCAAAGGCTTGTCCGCGCTTAGGAACGAGATGGTAACGATAACGATCGTGGAGGAGGGAGACGTTGCTTGCCGAGATAACAGTCGGTCGTGCGATAATTGCGGCAACATATATAGGAGTTTGGTTTAGAGAGGCGCAGCTAAGCTAAGGTGCACCCACGGGTCCGACACAGAGGCCGGGGTGCAGGCTGGTGGCAGAGGTTCCGTTACAGCCCAGAGGCTGCGTTCGTTCACCATTATCGTGGAACGCGGAATATGATTACCTTCACCTGGGAACAAACTCCTTATATACAACCGACCGGCAAAGGAGACCGTGGGCGAAGTTCGTGTCGTGGATACCGTGTCCCGGTTTTACTCGCCGTTCGCGTTCGCTAATCAGATTGGAACTGGTCGGATCGACCGACTTTCAACGAGGAGACAAATCAGTGCCGCGACTTAAAATCGGTTCGTATATATAAATTTATATGTAGAGCGATTGAAAATGATGAAATGATT